TCATTGTTGTTTGGCGGGCCCGGGCTGGGGATTCGAACCTGCCACCTTAGGTGTACGTGGCTGGCGCCTTAGCCGGTTGAGCTATGGGCGCCGAGCCTCAGTGAGCTTTCTTTTTACTTTAATATCAAAACCTATTTGAAATGGTTAGTCTCTTTTTCAGTTTTCTTTCCTTATGTCATTTGTTAAAATAATGATCTATGAACAACTATATAGATGTTCCCCTAAGTCAGTCCCACCGGTCCATTCTGTTCTCTGCTAATGTAGAAGGGTGTGCTGGATTGACTTGGAATCTTGCTCTAACATAGCCTGTGTACTTTTTTTTTTTTTTTTGCAGTTTTCGGCCGGGGCTAGGCTTGAACCCACCACTTCTGGCATATGGGGCCGTTGCCCTACTCCATTGAGCCCCAGGTGCTGCCCCAGCCTGTGTACTCTTGATGAAAAAAATTGCTAAGGGTCATGTTTTTTTTTGTTTTTTTTTTTTTGAGACAGAGCCTCAAGCTGTCACCCTGGGTAGAGTGCTTTGGCATAGCTCACAGCAACCTCCAACTTCGGGGCTCAAGCGAGTCTCCTGCCTCTGCCTCCCAAGTTGCTGGGACCACAGGCGTCCGCCACAACGCCTGGCTATTTTTTTTTTGGTTGCAGCCATCATTGTTGTTTGGCGGGCCCAGGGCTGGATTAGAACCTGCCACCTTAGGTGTATGTGGCTGGCACCTTAGCCACTTGAGCCACAGGCACCGAGCCTAAGGGTCATTTTTATAGCTGACTCACGTTCAGTGCTTTAAATATCTATAGCTATGGGTTTGCAATTGTGTATCTTTTCAATATATTAGTGTAATTTTCTGTAAAGAGTAATTAACACATTAACTTCCATGTGAGTTGTATTTAACTTACCCTAGTGTTGAGTCTGGGGCATCATTTAGCATATATAACTCACAATCTCTTGACCTGTCTTGACCTAATAAAACACTTTGGCCCAAGGAAAAAAAATGTTTTTTTCTGGGGTAGCTGTCCATGTATTAAATATTTGAGATCAGTGGCATCAGAACCTTAAACGAAGTCTTTTGTTGTTGTTGTTGTTGTTGTTTGGTCAGGCATGTGAAAAATGGTCCTGGAACATTCTAGAGAAGGTGAGGTAAAGACAGTCCCAGGCCATTGACCCTTCTAGGCCACCATATCAGAATTCAGTTCCTCTACCTCCTCCTCCCTCAGCTAAGACCTTCCTAGGATAACTCGGTGAAATGTCTGCCACGTCTCCCCTCTCCTGAGCCTCAGTGAGCCCACCTGTAACATGGAGACAGTGAGGGGCTAGCCCAGAAAACCAGTCTGAGCAACACTGACCCTGAAGTGATTGGCCAAATAGAGTGTGTGTCTCTGTGTGGTTTTTCTTCTGAGAGAGGGGAGTACACAGTTGTAATTAGAATCTGAAATGAGACCCAGTTCTCCAAAATGAAAAAAAAAAAACAACCCAAAACAAAAAGGCACGATAATGGAGGAAAGAGGAGACAGAGAGACCATCTTCAGAGTTCTATGCATTAGGATTATCATCACTACATCTAAAAGCAAGTTGTGTCCGTCTCTGGCATTGAACCCTCCTTCCCCTATTCCTCAGGACAAAGTCCACACTCTTCAAAGTGAAGGCCATGCTGGAGGGTGTACTAGCCTCACTATGTGTCATTCTTGTTCACATGTGTATTTATTACATATGGAGCCTGTAACATATGCCTGGCTTTTTGTGTGTCCAACAGGGATTAAATGGTAAACCAACAAAATATACTCCACAACTTTATCAAGATGATTTTTTTTTTTTGAGACAGAGTCTCACTGTGTCGCCCCTGGTAGAGTGCTATGGCATCACAGCTCACAGCAACCTCCAATTCTTGGGCTTAAACAATTCTCTTGCCTCGGCCTCCCAACTAGCTAGGACTACAGGTGCCTGCCACAACACACAGCTATTTTGTTGTTGTTGTTATAGTTGTTATTGTTGTTTGGCAGGCCCTGGCTGGGTTTGAACCTGCCAGCCCCAGTGTATATGGCTGGTGCCCTAGCTGCTGAGCTACAGGCACCAAGCCACGAAACGAATATTTTTATTTTTATATCATCTAGTCTAGTCTTGAACTTTTGGCCTCAGGGGATCCTCCTGCCTCAGCCTCTTGAGTAGCTGGGAGTACAGGTGACCACTACAATGCCCAGTTAATTTTTCTATTAGTAGAGACAGTGTTGCCCTCTTGCTCAGGCTGGTCTCAATCTCCTGAACTCCAATGGTCCTGCCTCAGCTTCTCAGAGTGGTGGGATTATAGGTGTGAGTGACTGTGCCCTGTCAGTGTCTTATATTTCTTTCTTTCTTTTTTTTTTTTTTGCAGTTTTTGGCCCAGGGCTGGGTTTGAACCTGCCACCTCTGGTATATGGGGCTGGTGCCCTACTCCTTGGAGCCACAGATGCGGCCCTCCTTTCTTTTTTTTTCTTTGAGACAGAGCCTCAAGCTGTTGCCCTGGGTAGAGTGCTGTACCATCACAGCTCACAGCAACCTCCAACTCCTGGGCTTAAGCGATTCTCCTGCCTCCACCCCCGAAGTAGCTGGGACTACAGGTGCCTGCCACAATGCCTGGCTATTTTTTGGTTGCAGTTGTCATTGTTTGGTGGATCTGGGCTGGATTCGAACCCGCCAGCTCAGGTGTATATAGCTTGTGCCTTAGCTGCTTGAGCCACAGGCGCCAAGCCCAGTGTCTTTCATTTCTGAAGGCTGAGCTCAGCCTGTGGTTCACGCAGGGGTGATGCATCAAGTTTGGTCTGGGCCATGACTAGGGGTTGCTCAGTCCAGCCCAGCTCCCCACTGCTGCAGCATGTGCATGGGGTCCCCCAGGAGGGGAGCAAGATCGATGAAAGGGGTCAAAAGCTAACTAGTTTGTCTTCTGTAGAAATGTGTTTTTCATACATCTCTCATGGGGCATGGGCAGCAGAGGACCATCTTTTTACAGATTGAAATCTGCTCTTTGCATGCATTTCTGACACAGGAAAGGGTGTGTTGACTCTGAGCATTAAAAGGCATATGATTGACATTCAGAATTGCCTTCTGTTGCCTTCTACAGACTCACTGCATGTGAGGAAGCAGCCCAGATCAGAAGGAAGGGGAAAGCAGGATTCAGGAATGGCTCTTACTCAGGTACAGTGATATTCTTGGTGGGTCCTTCTGAGCCCTCCCACTTTCTGAAATGCTGGGCACTGGACTTGCTGCTCTTCTCTGACTCTGCAGCATCCTGACTGAGAACTTTGCTCACACTTACCCCTGCCTTCCCTCAGTCCCTCTCACCTGCACTGAGATCCCATCTCACTGTGACTAGTTACATGAACTTATAAAGAGGCTCTAGCCAGGGTAATGCCTGTGGCTCAAAAGAGTAGGGTGCCGGCTCCATATCCCGGAGGTGGTGGGTTCAAACCTGGCCCTGGCCAAAAACTGCAAAAAAGGAAAAATAAAAAAGAGGCTCCAGTGGGCAGGACCCTGGGAAGGGCTTACCACCCAGACATGGATTCGAGTTGGGATGTGGCCCTGTGATGTCAGTCAGTGCTTTTGGGGAGCAGAGACTGTTTAGGGGCCACATCTGGGTGTCCTGTCAGCTCTCTGTAGACCAAGATTAGAGAAGTTGCCCCTGGAAGTCATGTATTCATGTGGACATACTCTTATTTATAGTGGCTATCCTAATTTATATTCCCAGAAATAATATATGAGTTCCCCTTTTCCCCCATATATTCACCAGCATTTTTTTTTTTTTTTTT